CAGAATTGAAGAGAACAGATGAGATGTACTGTGATGGAAATTTACCAGTTTAATAATTATGCGTATCTTCAGGATTACAAACCTTTAAGAATACAGTTACATTCACAATTGGGACCAGAAATTCAGTTGTTAAGCAAAGTACTTATTAAGTGCCCAATCTTACAACCTTTTTTTTGCCATGATTTCAAGTGAATCGTATCATTAAGCAAATCTGGCTTTCTCCATTGACTTGGCTTGTTAGAGACCCACTGGGAAGGGTCAATGACAATTCACCATGGCTAACTTGCCGTGTGATGACTAAATACAGCATATGAGTTACACTAATATCAAAGAAATGGAAATATAGAATCATTAAAGAAAGGATGGAAAAGGGCAGGCAAAATGAAACATCAATGACAAAAATTTATATATATATTTAATTTAAATAATTAAATTGAATTGTTAAATTGTCCAATGGCGAGTTGGCCACAGTGAATTGGCTATGGTGTGTTGGCAAAGATTTGGCCATGATAAGGTATCCCATTCTGAACTGAAAAGTTCACAGTCATCATGTGATCACAGGTTACTACAACCATTGTAAATATATCCCAGTTACCAAGTGCCCAAATTCTGAACATGTAACCGAGGTTGCTATGACAGTGTTCAATGTGAAGTCTGGATATAAACATTATTTTTTTCAATGTCATAATTTCAAATGATTGGGTTTTAATTCAAGAATTACCTTTATTATAAATGGTAGATAGTAACTGTGATTTATTCAAGCAAAGTAGCTGATACTTTAACAGCCTTCAGCAGGTAATTATGCACAATACACTGGGCACTTCGCCTTGCCAGTTAAGATTCATTTAAAATTACCCAAATTCTTGAGAAATCTTTCAAATCTTCTGTTCAAAGCCATCTCACTCTTTAGCTGCCATGTGATTTTTTAAGAAGATTGCTGGAATCTCACAAGAATTTGACGAATATTTACATTTGGATGCCATCTTGATGAATCGAGAAAGCTTTGACAGTTGCAGGTATTAATTGAGATCATTTATGGTTTAGCAAGATCTGGAAACCCCCAAAACATTCCCCCTTACCATCTAAGCAATCTTAGGAAGGAATAATAATAGAATAGTTGTGGAGTTATGCTATTTATTGGTACAAAGCTATTGAAAAGTATTCTTTCTCAGTTTCTTTTCAAGCAAGCAATTTTAATTAATTTCCAAGTTTTGAAGAACGTCAAGCATGTAATACTGGAAGATGCAGTTTGGTTTCTATCAAAGGTTTGTAGTTCATACTGGCATAGACACAATTGTATGGAATGCTAATATTACACTAATTGGAAGACAAGTTGAGATGGCTATTCATTGATGGTCATTGAGGTTCTTCTTCTATTCCTCCTACTCCTCCTTTATATTTCTCTTCCTCTTCCTCCTTCCCTTTCATATTCCTCCTCCTCTTTTTCTTCTCCTCCTCCTTCTCCTTCCTCTCCTCCTCCTCCTCCCCCGCTTCCTCCTCCTCCTCTTCCCTCTTCCCCCCAGCAGTCTAGCTCCTATGAGAGTTTGGGTGGAAATGCTATCTTTTTCCAGCCCATTCTATTTGAATTGTCCTTCTGAGAAGATGTTTTCCAGGTTTGAGATACAAGATTATCAATTAGCAACAATTATATTTTTTTTTCAGTTTCAGTAATGTAATCGGGAGCCAAAAAGATGCTGCCTCTTCTGCATCCACTGTGACCAAAATCAGTCCAAACTAAACAACACCGTGTTCTCTTTAAAAGAATATTTATTTCCCAATTTCTTTTATTCCCCCTCCCCCATGGACAGTGATAGGATTACAGTATGTAACAAGGACCCCTCCCCCAAAGTACACAAATGATTAAAATATTTTGTTTCAACTAAAACAAAATCCACAATAACTATTATATACTTATGGCTCAGTGGTTATCGAAACAAATACCTGGAAGAGAGAAAACTAAGATGAGTATCATTCCCAGATACAAAAACTCAGTCAACCAGGAAATTGGAATTATTCCAAAATTCTTCCCTCTTTCTCTTCTGAGAAATGAATTGTTCTTCAGAGCTGCTGCTTAACTTCCATTCTCTACTTAAAAATCAAGAGAAAGCCATATTAATTCATTTTGAATTCTAGAACACATGCTCTCAGTCCTGTGGCAATTAGTTAAAAAGTTCCTTCTCCTAGTAACTGCTCCTAACCTTTACATCTTCTAATCTAAACAATGGAATCTAGATCAATATTTGTCAACTTTAAGAGGTGTGAATGTCAATTTCCAGGATTCCCCAGCCAGGAATTCTTCTCTCGAATACAAGCGCATCTTCCTCAGAAGAAGAGCTTGCATCAGAACTGAAAGTTCCTTTGCATCTAGTCTCTATAAAAATGAAAACGGAAAACTATAAGGCAGCATCCATGAATAGCATCTACAGAAAGTCCTTAATGTGTATGACATAACGGGCTGTTGCTTTGCTATGCCTTGAAACTATTTTGCTTTGCTGCTGGATAGGTGCACCCGAGCTAAGCAGTCAACAGAGGAGATGAGGAGATCTGCTTTTAGAAACATCTCAAGATCTCATTTCACATTTGGAACATTGGCCTGTTGAAAATGTTTCCAAGTTGGAGTGTAAATATAGTCTTTTCTTTTCAAAGAAAAACAGTATTTTTTTGGTTTTTGTGCATTTCTTACAGCATGTGGAAATTGATTCTTTTTTGGAGTTTCAAATATCATTTTTTTTTGTATAACCCCACAGAATGCTTTAAAGATACCTTGGGTATTCCAACCAAATTCAGAGGCAGAGAAGCAGGGGTGGGATTCTCCAGGTTCGAACCGGTTGTATAGAACTGGTTGTTATGATTCTGCACAGTTTGGAGAACCGGCGAATCGTGCCCCTGGCTGGCCCTGCCCTTCTACACGTGCCCCTCCCTTCCCTGCCCAGTCAGTCCTTATCACACATGTGCAACATTGCACGCATGTCCAACATTGCTGACTGTGTTCTTCCCCGGCCAGTTACTCCTTAAGGTATTTCTTTTTTCCTTCTCCCGACGATCAGCTGTTCCTATGATCAGCTGTGCTGGGATTCCCCTCGCTGTCTTACTGCTTTGCCCAGGAAACTTCCCTGAGGTCCAGGAGGCAAAAAATGGAGGGAGGGCATAGCTCCCCCACCCCTCCTCCATTTTTATCTTCCTGGGCCCCAGGAAAGCTTCCTGGGAGCAAAAACTGAGGCTTCCCTGAGGCCCAGAAGGCCCCAAATTGGAGGCTTCCCTAAGGCCCAGAAGGCCCCCAAAATTGGGGGGGGTGCTTCAAAAAAAGCCATGCCCACCCAGTCACATGACTGTGCCCAGCTAGCCACGCCCACAGAACCGGTTGTTACAAAATTTGAATCCCAACCCTGGAGAGAACATTACAGGAAATCCTCGATTTACAACCATTTATTTAGTGACTTATAATAACACTGGGGGGCGGGGGGAAGGAACTTAAGATCAGTCCTTAGGACTGTCACAGCAGCCTTAAAGTTTATGATCAGAATTTGGGTGCTTGACAATCAGTATGTATTTATGACAGTTTCCTGGGTCAGATGATGTCCTTTTTATCTTCTCAGCCTGCTTTTCAGACAATCAAATGCTGTGGAGGAGCAGGAGGCCAGATTCATTTAATAACTGCACCATTCACTTAACAACCGCTGTGATTTGCTAAACAACTATGGCCAAAAAAGATTGTGAAATTGGTTGCAAATCACTTAACAATCCCCTTGCTTAGCAATGGAAATTCTGATCTCATTTGTGGTTATAAGTCGAGGACTGCCTTTAGGTCTAGCTTGCCGGCTGCCAGCTCGAAAGCTGCTTTCATTGGGCAGGTTCCCCTGAGAAAGATGATTATTTATAATAGGAGCTCAAAGAGCTGAGGTTTTTTTTCTTTATCAAATGTAGTTCTGTCTGGCCAATGATGTTGAGAAACCCAAAATTCATTTATGCACTTCTCATGACTAGTGTTTGAAAGGGGGTACCAAGCAATTCCAGGGCAACAAAAATATAAATTTAAGCAGCAATCACCCCAGTGTTGTCCTGCACAACTGTTTACGCTTCTTCCGGCCTCCTGTAGAACTCTCAGCAGGGAATGATACCTTTAAAAATATGCAGAAATAATATGCATACTTGGGGAAGCAATGTAGGGGAAAAGTGTGTTTTAGGGAATGTATGGCACACGGTTGTGATGTTTTTAAATTATTGGTGAACACACACATGACAGAATGGAATTGTTTTCTCAAGTATAAAACTTGCTAAGCTAGATTCCAAGTTGGCCTTAAGCATGTGTAAAAATGGCACCGATGCCAACTCCCATGTAAAGCAGCTATTCTTTTCTTGTGTGTTTCTCGATGTATCTTTAGATGTTCCCTCCGTCCAATTTGATACGTTCTGCAAACCTGTTTCTTAAAAATCTCTTTCTCTGCCCCTTCCAATAGCATTGGTTGTTTGGAATTCAGTTCCCAAACCCTGGACCACACAAAATAAGCAATGTCTGGGCACCAACCTACGATTCACCCATCAAGAAGCAGCACTTTAGTTCAACAAACTAGCAGTGTTGGCCTCCTTCGTAACACTGGGGATGTATTAGATTCAAGAATGTTAGCAAGCGTTGTTCTAGCTCGTTTTTCCTTTGAAATTTATGCCATATCTGGGAGGCTCATGCACTAGTCTTTAAACTCTAGTTTGTTATATTCTAGTCTGTCATAATCTAGTTGGTCATACTCTAGCCAAGGGGTCTCCAACCGTGGCAACTTTAAGTTTTGCTGGCTGGGGAATTCTGGGAGTTGAAGTCCTCCAGGCTTAAAGTTGCCACGGTTGGAGACCCCTGGGCTAGCCTGTTTCTTCATGTGAAACACAACCCCCAGATAGGTGCTTGGCAGGGCCAGCCAGGCACTGAGCAAAATGAGGTTTGGTAAGGTTGAGCTCCAGTTGCTGAGTTTTCCTGGCTTGCTATTCATGCTGCTCATCTCCTCCAGTTTTCACTCAAGTTCCATCGTTTCCCGTGGCCCTCCATTTTCCTGATGGAGCACACATCCCACTTTGTTGTTGAAAAGGCGAGGTAGGCTTCCCTTATGGAAATGTCTACCCTGGATAGACCGTTCCTTCAAACGACACTTGCTCCGTTTACAAATCTGCCGGATGTCCCAGATCCTCAGCGTGCCATCATGGGAAGCTGTGTACAATAATTCATTGTGAATCTGGAACAACAGGGGCATACTTAGACTGCTTAGCATTGACAGTCACAACACGAGACGGAAGCGAAGACAGAGCCTTCTTGCTTTCAAAGCAGAGGGGATTGTGTGGAGACATGGTTCGATCCAGTTTCAATCAATATGTATAACCCAAGAAAAATCTAAAGTCAGCCAACGCCTCATGTACAAGAAGGAACTAACGTTAGAAAACTATGGGCGATTGTACTTCCTTAGCACTTTTTTTTTTTAACTGTAGGAGTTATTTAACGAAATAAAGTAAAAAAAAGCCAGGGAAGAATTTATAAATAGTACTGCGGGGTCCTTGGTGCTCTCTGAGCTTGATGGTTTTCTTGCAGATATTTTATTACCCAACCAGGCAACATCATCATTGCTGATAGAGGGGTTTGCTCTGTTTATATATAGAATAGAATAGAATGGAATAGAATTGGAATAGAAATGGAATAGGAATAGAATAGAAATTGAATAGGAATAGGAACAGGAGCAGAATAGAATGGAATGGAATGGAACGGAACAGAACGGAACTGAACAGAACAGAACAGAACAGAACAGAAATGGAATAGGAAGAGGCAGAGGCAGAGGAAGAGGAAGAGGAAGAAGAGTAGAATAGAATAGAATATAGAATAGAATAGAATAGAATAG